TTGTAGGAAGTTACGGGATATCACAACTTTGAAAGGAATTGAAGAAAGTTCATCAATTGAAAATATTGTTTGGGAAAGTTTGAGAGTTTAATTTGAACTAATTTCAAAAAGTTTTCTCTATGTTTCTGTTTAACCAAACAGAACTCAGTTTTCTTATTGATAATGTTTTCAGAAAACCAAATTGGAATGAGAATGATTAAGTAGGAGAGTATATGAGATTGGTCTTTGACGAGCTTTCTTATGAGTTTATTGTCCTAATAATGAAGTCCAAGCCAAAATCAAAATGTTGGGAAATTTGGCTGTGGTATATAGATGGATTTAGAGGTCTTTCAATTCACTATTTATTTTGAGTTCAGTGGTATATGGACTGTTCTTTTCGGGGAACCAAACCAAATATATCATGTTGCAAAATAGTGACTTAGGACATGACCAATTTTAAAAAAATGCAATTATAAGAGAGAGAGGCAGAGATAGTAATAACTTCCAAACAATTTTTGGTGAGTTCTTGAGATTGATATCTAAATTGATTAATTACTTCTCTTGAAGAGTCCAAATCTCTATATTATAGAATTTAATTTTGATGGTCCCATCATAGGAGTCTTTGTTCGTTCATTTAGAAATTAGTTGGAGGTAATGTAAAAAATTGATGATATCTGTTTGCATAATTGTGGAACTAATACCCATATCCATTTTTASGTGTTATGAATATGACATTGAAACGAATGGATAGAATACGTTGCTTTATGAGATTTTATGATTCATAGTTTGAGAATTACTTTTGTTTTATTCTCAAGGAGAAATTTAGCATTAATTCTTCTAAGTCGCTCTTAGGAACTAACTGAAGTATGTTTGTGAGTAGAAGAAATATTTGTTAGAAATTATTTATCAGCCATGAATCTTTTTTAATCACAATGTCATAAAAAATGAAGGTGATGAACCCATTGCTGGAATCACGCGAGGTCTCGGGGAAACACGTGGTGAATTCTTGACAAGAGTCGTCGAGCGTGCAACGGTAGTACAACTAAAGTTGATGCAATTCGATGCAACCCTGATGGAAACATATTTTGTAACATTGGTTCAGATGRAGATGGAGAATGTTATTTGTAAATTTAGAAAGAAATTTAGTTGTTTTTATTTTTAGAAACTTGTAAATGTTTTGAATGACATATATTGTTTAATTAAATTTACATTATAATTCAAGCAATTTGGTTATTTGAACTTTTTAAATTTAGCAATGAATTTTGAGGTTGATTCAAAGTTGGGTGGAAATTCAGGTTTGCAAATAAGGAAAACTAAAATGAAAAGAAAATTAAAAATTAAAACATTTAAAATGAAATAATTAAAATAAAAACAATAAAAATAATAAAAAAGCAATGAMATAACATTTTCGTGGCAAAGCCAAAAGGCGACGAAAGGCATTTCGTCGCTGATAACCTTTTGCAACGTATTTTTCTTTTCAGCGATGAAATTTTTTCGTCACTGAAAATTCTTTTTTGGTGTGATAAAATCACTTTTTTCATTGTCAAAATCACCTCAATTTCTGTTGATCATGTTTGACAAATTAAAAAAGATTYTATGTAAACATCAACTCGATTTTTAAGATATTATTAGGTGATCTTGGAAAATCAATTATTTTTAAATATTTTTTTTCAAAATCACACCTTTTACCATCCCTCCCAAGCACACCCTTGATGGAGGTCTCATTAAACATAAAGGTTAGTTTTACTTATTTATACAAAAGCAACAATTTTCTTTAAATTATATAACCTTGATAAGTAATTTACTGTTTYAAAGTTAATCAATATTAAAAATAGTCACTTTTTAGACGGTTTAAGCAAATTAGTAATTTAGACTCGCATATAAACTTTAAAATCAAATTTTGAAAACCTACTTAGACTTGAATATAGCTGAAGTGATTAAGACATATATATCATCATCTAAGTCGGAGGTTCAAATTTCCACCTCAGATAATAGGTTTTAATTTTGTTTAATACAACAACATGTCGAGATGAAGGTTCAAACTCATGATCTTTTGGTTGGAGATATATATCTTGACAGTTGAGTGAAAGCTCATGTTCAATGTTTTTTATCTTCTACCTTAAAAACTATCTTGGTTATTAGCAATTTGTTTAATTCTCTAACATACTTTTAGATAATTGTAACAAAAGTAGGGTTGTCTAAACAAATTAAAATGATGCATACTGAAATGACTATTTGTTTTAGCAACGAGAGGAGTAGCTAATGTATCTTAAAAAATATCGTTATTRTATAATTTTTGGATCGGATGCTGGTTTAAGTTTGTTAGGCTCTAATAATACTATATTATAATATCCATAAGRTTCCATCTCAAAGCTAATTGACATGATTGATGAGCTCAAAAGAGCCATCATCTTGAGGTGACATGTGGGCTAGCTACTTCAATTGATTTTGAAATAAAACYCCATGAATATTGATAATAAATAGTTTCAAAATTAGGGAATTACAAAAATAAAACCAAAAAATATGTAATTTTATATATAGCATTAAGTTCAAAATTATATGAGACCAAAAGGTCTTGAGTTCGAATCCACACTCTCACATGTTCTATTAAAAAAAGAAAAAGAAAAAATAACTTTTGTGATCTTTTTGAAAACTACTGATATTTTTATAAATACATATTTATTTTATGTTATTGGTATAATTTTTTTTTAATAAAAAACCAACTCTTTTTTTTGTTTGTTTTTAATTTAACTAAAGATTACAAAAAGTAATTTTCAAAAATTAAAATTTGAAAATATAAAATTACAAGTGTACTTGATAGTTGATATGACTAAATTGTTTTATATAGAAAATTTACACATCTATCAAATAATTAAACGGTCGTATTTTTTAATATTGTGTTCATCTCAAAATCAGTTGGCAAGGAAAGGAGTACGCTCTTTTGAATGCTTTGGACTCTGATACCATATTAATATTCATGGAGTTCCATCTCAAATTACTTGACAGTGAGAGGAGTAACCCARTTATAAACATTTGTAAAGTCAGTTTTTTTTTTCAATATGAGATCCTTAACATGCCTTTCAARATCGCGACTCTTTTAATTTATCGATCTTGGCCGAATCCTATTTGTTTTGGATCAGATGAGTTATTCTCTATTGTTTTTCAATCCCCTATGGTCCACAATCGAAAGGTAAAAAGAAGAAATATTCCAGAAGTTTAAAGAAGATCCATCTACCTTCCTTTGCAAAAAAAAAAAAAGAAGAAAGAAAGAAAGAAAGAAAAGAAGAACCCTAATGTTAGGTGGGAAATTTTGGCACATCTAGTTGACATGATCAAGCGAATTTAATAGGCACACATCATTCATCAACTATATAAGTTGAGATGATCGAGCCAATTTAATAGGCACGCATCAACTACATTTTCCAACTTTTATTATTATTAATTTCCACTAGAACTCGTTTTTAGATGAAATAGGAAATTTTGAAAAAGAAATTAGGAGCTTATTTGAGAGAAACGATTTAATTTTTGTTTTTAGAACTATTTTGGGTAGACATGAAAGATGATTTTGTAAAAGTTAAATGCTATTGTGTACGATGTGTGAAGTTTGAAATCACTTAAAAAAAGGGTTAAAATTGAATTAACTAAYCCGTTGTCTATTCACCTCTAGAGTTAAAAAGTTTAATTTTTTTAGAGAACATGTGGGACGAGAATTCAAATTCACAATTTTTTGTAACTAATTGAGCTCAGCACATAAATTATTATTTATCTGTTTAAATAAACACAAACAATATTATTTATTTACGGATTGAAAATTTACAAAATTTGACTTCTCATGGTTTTGTTTCCCTAATTAATGTACTTCCATGACAAATAATATGAAAAACTCCTCGTAGACAAAAAGAGACAAATATTGAAAATCAATAAATTTAGTGATGGGGGTAATTGTCATACCTTGATTGATGAGCTTCAAATCTCAACCTATATATCTGTTGTACTAACAAATAGTTAGGTTAAAGTGATAGTGTAGTACATTTTTTCTTTGGTAAAATATACTTGTTAACGACAAATTTGATTAAAATCATACTTATTAACCAAAATTTTAAAATTAGTTTTCAAAGCAACTTTCTATTTCTAACATTTGACTACTTTTTAATTTTTTTTTCCAAGGGTGAAAAATTAAACAAAGATGATTATATAGTAAAACAACAGAAATYACCTTTTCAATAGAATTTTAATAATAAATTAATTGAAATAGTAACTTTTTTCTTTAATTAAAGGGTGGGAGGATTCAATCTCTTGTTCATCAGATACAAGTACTAATTACTAGATAGTTACGTTGAGGATTGAAACTAGTAATAAAAGTTTATCTATTATTTTAAAGTTTAATAATTTACATTGGATTGGATACTTGGAGAGGGAGAATTTCATTAGTGTGTCTTCCATCATTTCATGATCTAGTTTTGATCCTCTATTATCTTTTTCTTTTTTTTTTTTGAAACAAAACTCTGTTATCCTCTATTACAAAATTATATCTCATAACCCACCACTTTTTACCATTAAAGAGAAATCTTATCTATCTTAAAATTTTTTTTTTCTACACAAATGTGACGACCATATAGCAATAGAATCTTGAGAGAGGAATAAAATTAAACTCACGTTGGTATTATCTTTATAGTTAATTTCTATTATGTTGTTTAATAAATAAATAAATTTCACTAATATTTTTGTTAGGTTAAACAAACCAACATCGAACAATTTTTTTGCTTCCACCATTTTTTTTTTCTCTTTAAAATATTTTTCTTGTTCAATACATAACTGCTATATATCCAAAGTGAGTCACTATCATGACAGTTAGATATAAACTGAGCCATACACAATAATTTCTCGAACCTCATATAAATCATTTGATTTTTGAAATAAAATTATTTATTATTATTTTTAAATGGAAGCCCATTCTACTATAAATAAAGATAGAAGAAACTTYGAACAAAGCATCTGAGCTGAGGCAGTGATACTTCAAAAGTCCATACTCTCTGTTGCTTTGCTCTTTGCCATTAATGCTTCTTGCTCCTGAAATGGAGGAAACAAGGAGACTGCTAGAAGATAAAAATAATGATCAGAAGGCCGTGGTAGGTGAAGATGAAGCTGCGGTCCGGGACCGACGCAGGCCGATTTTTCGAAGAAAATGGACAAGTTTAGACAAACGTTCTGCAGGTGCTCTTCTGGTTATGCATTTGCTTTGTCTCTTGGCACCATTTCAGTTCACCTGGCCAGCCTTCTGGCTTGCCTTTGTACTCTACATTATCACAGGCCTGTTCGGGTTGACGCTCTCATACCACCGACATCTCACGCACAAGAGTTTCAAACTTCCCAAATGGCTAGAGTACACGTTTGCTTATATTGGAGTCCATACTTTTCAGGTTATTCACGGTCAGATATTTTATTTTTTTCCCCTCTTATTGTTTTCTTTTAGGGTTTTCAAGCTTTTTTTATAATTATTATAGGGTGATCCAATTGACTGGGTGAGCACGCATAGATATCACCATCAGTTTGTTGATACTGAAAGAGATCCACACACTCCGACGCAAGGTTTCTGGTTTGGTCACATTGCTTGGATATGGGATTCTTATGGCCTGACTAAAAAGGTTTGTCCAAAATATGTTCGAGATTTTGAGGTAAGAGATGGAAAACGAAGTCGTCTAAGAAACATGTTTGTGGGATATTTGAAGTATGGAAGACCAAACAATGCGGAGGATCTACAAAAACAGGCCTTTTATAGGTTTCTTCGAAGAACATACATTCTTCATCATGTTGGTCTTGCAGTTGTCCTCTATGCAGTGGGAGGCCTTCCCTTCCTTGTTTGGGGAATGGTAAGATTTTATTATTATTATTATTATTATTTTTATTTTAAGTAGAATGTCTGTCATTTTACTTAGACAATTTAAGGAAGGTGTTTGCTTCAAATTATTTAATTTTATGTAGTTTAGGGTTAAGATGTGGGTGTGATTTTTCTTATCTTGGTTAAAAGTTTTCTAATACCRCAAWTTACACATAAACCACACCATGCACATTACCTTTTACTAACTATGATCCCACAAACCACTTATTATATAGTTTAATGTTTTTGTATAACTCTCTTCTTTTGCCTCAAAATCTAAATGCAATTACAGAAAATTCAAAATTTTAGATCTATTGTTTTGTAAAATCAAAGTATATTGCCAAACACAATTAAGATTTAGTAATCCCTAACTTTCAATATTATTTCTAATAGATCTTGGTCATCTAAATCGATTTTTTTTTGTTTTTTTTAATTATGACATTCCCACAATCTCTTCGAAGTGGAACGCTTTCATTTAGCCTCCTTATATTGTATGTTTCTCACGTTCTTTTAAAATGAAAGGTGTGATGTATCTTAAAATTAAATAAAATTTAAAGTACCTAATAGGTCCCTAACATATTTAACATTTTTTTAAGAAAAATTAACGGATCTATTAAATTTTGTATCCAATAAAATTCAAAACTTTTTATTTTGTGTTTCATTGGTCGAATAGTTCAATGATCTATTAGATTCAGAGTCAAAACAGAGACCTATTAAGCATAAAATTGAAATTTAGACACCAATTAGATATTTAATTTTTAAAGCTAAGAGACATATATTAGACACAAAAATTGAAAGACACCTCTTAAAATTTAGAGCGCTATCAACACATTTAAAAGTTTAGAGATTAAACTTAGTACCTCAGTTTTCTCAGTTTTCTCATGGTATCATATCAATGTAACACATATAATACTTAAAAAAAACCATGCATGCATGTATATTAAATCTTATAACGTAAGAATTTAATYRTGTTTTGCGCCCTTAAAGTATAAAAGAAGAATTCAAGCCAAAAGGCAATCAATGAAGTGGGATTAAGAGAAAGTGTACATTAATAATTGTGTTTGATTATATATATCAGTATCTAAAGGGCTTTAATTAATTAATTAATTAATTAATTAATTGAATGAATGCAGGGTGTGAGGACTGTATGTTTTCAACATGTCACTTTCTCTGTGAACTCTTTAGGCCACATGTGGGGAAACCAACAATGGAACACTGGCGATCAGTCGAGAAACAACTGGTGATTATGTCGATATTTCTTTCATTTATTTACATGAGATTTTTTCTTCTCTTTGGTTTCAGGTTTTTTTGGGCACTAGTTTTTCTCTTGACATTTTTTTTCCTTCTCACTTGTGTAATATATTGGGATATTTAGAACTCGTTTCGTAATATCCTCGCACTTCTTGTTTCTCGTTTCCAATTTTGCTAAGAAATCTAAGTGTTTTTCAACTCACTTTGTTTCTTCTTTCTCGTTTTTGGAACATTCTTATAATTATATAGAAATTTTGGAAACAATCCAAACTAGTTTCTCTTTTTTTTTTCTTCTCATTTCCAATTTGTTCCAAAACATAAATAAAAAGATTGTTTTATCATACTTGAATTCTTAGAAGTTGGAACCACGTGCAATACATTTTTCTTCATTAAAAATAAAGAAATAAAACAGSAAGGTTACCAAACGAGCCCTTTAAGTCTGTTTAGTTGGAATCTCTTTATTTTTGTTTTTAGAGATTCACTGAATGTGAATGAAATRGATTGAGTGAATATGTGTTGGATTTGGGAGATTCATTTTTTAAATATGTTTTTAAATGATGTGATCCAAACCGTAGAAATTCTAAAATAGATTTTTTTTATGTTTGTTAAAATTAAAACATGTAAAATATAATGTATTTTAAATTCTATAACATTGTAAAATAATAATTATACAAAATTCTTAAAAAATGTTGATAAATGGCTTAATATAATTTTAGATTAAACTAAATATTTAGTTTGTGATCCATTTTTTGAATTGAGATTCAATTACTAAATCCTCCACCAAACACATATCTGAAACCACTAAAACAAATAATACAACTATAGTTTTTATTGAATCCCTTGTTTTCAGATTTTTGTTTTATGATTACCAATTAAACGTACTCTTAAATTTTCATCTTTTCATGTCGATATTTTCATCGATATTTACGAGCGAATTGACCGATGATGATGAAATGATTGCAGGGTGTTGGCAATGCTTATATTTGGGGAGGGGTGGCATAACAACCACCATGCATTTGAGTATTCAGCTCGACATGGGTTAGAATGGTGGCAGCTAGATGTAACTTGGTGGGTTATCYTGTTGCTTCAAGCTCTAGGGTTGGCGACTGATGTGAAATTACCCTCTCAAAATCACATGCAAAAGTTGGCCATTCAACCAAAATATGAGTGAATGATCGATGATACAAACGCTTTGTCATTTAGTCGATGATAAAAAATGTTTGTTTACTTAATAAGGGTCATGGAAAATAGTTATCAAATACTTTTGTTTTTCAAATATGAAGTTTCAAATTAAAGCCTTTAAATTTAAAAGCAAGAATGCTATACTTATTATTCCATTTAATATCCGCCAATCTAATATCTACCTCAGCTAACTTAATTGTGTGAGTGTTATACATGTTCACATCAGTAAAATTTTAAAGTTTCAATACTATCAAATTTTTATATGATTAGAAACTAAATTGAAAAGAAAAAAATAAACTCGGGACTAAGATATATATTAAGATCAAATTGTTGGAAATAAATAATAGATTTTTTTTAGTTCAACTAGAGATGGAGATAGAACCATCGGTCTTTGAGATGATAATAGTTGTCTTATCCATTAAACTATTGAATTAGTTTAGTTAATTTTAATCTGATGAAATCTTATTAGCTTCAATCATGTGATATTTGAAAAAAGGAAGTTTTGAGCTGGATGGAAAAGATTAATTAAATAATCCSTCAATAATATTAGGTTCAATCAAGCAGTGTACTTTTTGAGTGTTCGAACCAGTTAATCTCATAGGGCAACCACTCGATCCTACAACATTTTATACCAAAAAATACATGGAAATTACTAATTCCTAAAGAAATCAAGGAGTATATTTTAATATTTCAAATACTTTAATAGTCCATAGATTAATTACTGCCAACCATTTACGTATTTAGGAACAGATGAAAATTCTAGACAAGAAAAGCCAGATTCCTTTAATGCAAAAGAGGACCATTGAAGAAGAAAGTATTTGATTATCAATTAAACAAAAAAATTGTTTTTCACATGAATAATTATATCACGAGATTTCTACACTAACTTGTTTCCTGGAGTTAGAACTTTTATTTTATTTTATATATTTGTAGAGCGAATGCAATCTCTAGTCTTGAATTTGATTGAAGTCTAATGCGCTTCAAAAGTTTTAAGTTTTTAAAATTTCAAATAACTATTCGGCACGAGAGAGATTTCAATTTGCTCCCTAAATTCTCCAACAAATGATAGGGTTATTTTGGATTAAATCCATAGAGTTGAGTTTTATTTAGGTCATGGGTCCAATTTAATTTCAAAATCTAGGATGGGGTGATTTTGGACCCTACCCTCTATTTGTGTTATAGGCCCAATTTAATTTTTAASAGATTTGAGTTTCCCTAATTTTAGACCGACTCATAAACTGTGACTCTATTTAGGTTATATATGCCAATTTAATTTCAAAAGGTTGGAGTTTGGGTGATTTTTGTATCCGACCCCGACCCTAAACTTGAACTTGAGTTTGGACTCAGCTCAATTATTTTAAGTACTGGATTTAGACTTATTTAAATTTGGTAAGTCTATTATTGATCTTACTTTTTTTTTTTTTTGAAAAGATGTACCATTCATTAGAGTATGTGAGAAGCATCCAAAAAAGAAGAGGCTTTAAAGAAAGCACTCTAATGGGGAGAAATGGTAACCTATTATCGATCCTACTACAATAATCTTATGGTAATTTGGGTTTTGGGTCAAATTATTTTTGGATTGAATTGGTTTTTGGCCCAATTTTCACATGACCTAATTCGACCAGTCAAATCTAATCCAAAAGGCCCGGACATGTCTCTTATTTGGTAATTGCCATTTTTTTGCCTTTATTTTATAATTGACTATAAATATATATATATATCTTTTGATATGAAAAGTACCATTTCATTAGAGGTATGTATAATTGACTATAAATTTAATAAATATAGTTTCATCGGTAATGATGTGGCCATTTTTTATTGACCCAAATTTTATGATTGTAGGACTAGATGTTTTTCTTAAAAATGATACCTCACTTATGGGAAGGAAATGATATTACATGGAAAATGATAATATAGGAGTTCGAACATAGAACCTCTCGTCCATCTTAAATATGATAAGTCACTAGTATGAATCCAAAAATTTAAGTTTATATACCAATACCGAAGATGGAAACAAATACAGTAACAAACATGATGRACAAATACGAACAAATACAGTAACAAGCATGATGAACAAATATGGTGAACAAATGAATAAATATAATGAACAAAGAAAAAATATGGTGAACAAATGACCCGAAGTTTTTGGCCATTGAGTGGCCTATGAAATAAGRAAATTTTAGTGATATTATTGATATCTTAAGAATTGTGAATAAAAGATTAAATATATCATAATCTATTAATTTAAGCTTTTAGATATGAAAAGTGAAAAGTCTTGAGTTCGAACTATTCATTAATATTCGTGGGTTCCATCTCAAAATTAATTGACTATGAGAGGAGTAGRCCAGATCTATTATAAACTTTGTTAGGTCCCTTATCTTTTCAACGTGCGATCTTCAACCCTACTACCATGTTATTTCCACTCATATCATATAATAGTCTATTTATTTAGACTATATTTGATTGGTCTTGTGCTAATTTCATGGAGTGTTAAAAAATATTAATGAAGATTAGATATACCACGGTCAATTAACTAAAGTTTTGGTAATTTAATTTAATTTAATTTTTTATTTTTGGAAATGGTATTGGCCTTAAAATATTGTTGGATTTTGACAAAATATTGGAATGAAAATTGTCCATGCAGAATACAARGGATGGTCTCCAATATTAGAAGTTGTCCCACATCAAAAAGGTACTTCCAACTASTATAAAAGGAGTTCAAATGGATTGTAATAATTTTTCACCTATACATTTTTCCTGGGCCGTGGTTTTCTCTCCGGTTTGAAGTTTTTCCACATTAATTCTAGTGTTTCTTTATTTTATTRCTTTCCTTAAATTTCTCAGTTATTTTCCATTTATTGCTACAATACAAGTAGGAGATTTTTTTCCCATCAAATATAAATACATCAATACAGATTACTCCAAAACATTGATATSAGTAGGGACATTTTCTTTAAAAGGATGGCCATTCTTCAAGAACSTTACTTTTGTAGGTGCACATTTTCCCATCCTAATGGTGGGGTTTTTTTAATGGAATTATCAATACACATTTGATGCAAATTAGGAGAAGAATGGACGTCCATAATTTTTTTGGTTCAGCTCCCATTCAGAAGTGTCATTGATGGCAGGCCACCTAAAACAGTGTTGAATATAAAGTTTGTGGCCCCATTCAAATTTACTAGCCATTTGAAACCCTGTTCCTAATTAATACCCCAAAGTAATGGCCCTCTTATTCTGTTTCATGAACAAGTTTGGAGTGAAAAATTCTCTTTTGAAATTCATGAGGCAGATTCAATGTGTGACAACTTGTACCATTTGGGTGAGCACACTCTCTCATTATGTTTTAGATTTGGGATCAAGGCTTATTGTGGTATTTTGTTTATCTCGTGATTTTACTTTTATTTTCACTCAAAAGTTTTCATAGAAATGTAGGTTAGGGCTTTATTTACATTTTGTTCTTTATTAATTAATTTGACAGCACAGCTGTGAAACGAATATATGTAAATATTTATGGGGCTGACCCAGTTATTGTACATACGTACTTAATGATGAATTCAGAATTTTTCTGGAAACTTTTCTTGTGCAATTTGCTGAAGAAGGCTTCTAGAAATATTTTTAAGAGTCTGTATGTGAACGTTTTCGTTTTTTATAATTTTTATTAATGAAGAAAAATAGAATTGTATGTCCTAAGATTTAAGAATAATAAAACTATATTTTTATTTGTATTTTGGAACAAATTTGAAACGAAAACAAAAACAAGAAACATATTTTTTGTTTCTATGTAATTTTGATAGTATTTATAAAAATGAGAAACAAAAAACATAAATAATTATCAAACGCTTAAATTTTTTAATCACATTGGAAATAAAAAACGAGAACTTACCAAACGCATCATATGATGATCTCTTTCTACTTGTTAAAAATAGGACCAAATATAATTTTTAGTTCAAATGTTTGGAGTATTTTTTAATTTGATCCATATTATTATTATTATTTTTTATCTAATTTCGTATGTTTTACTATTTGTTAATTATATCCTCCAAATATTAAAGTCGACAGATAATATTTAAATTTAGGAAAATTATTAACATATCTAAGAGAGAGAAGTTTTTAATCTGTCATCCAAATTTCTATACGTTAACAAAAACTTTCAATTTTTCCTTTTTATTTTTCATTTTATTTGGGTGGACAAATTGCATGCTAGGTGTAATCTTATTATCAATTAATTTCAACGTTAACTTATGAAAATATTGAAAAAACCTACCACGTAAAGGACTAAACTGAAACTATTTAAAACATAGGGACTAAATTGAGATAAGTAATATCTTAAATAGTTAAGCTCTGTTCATTTCAATCTAAAAATCTTAATAAAATATGTCAAAAACAGTATCAATTATGAAATACTATTAGACACTATAATTTAAATATTATCTTCATCCGCATAATTAAGAACAAATTTTGATAATGATTTTGTTTTTAGGAGTTATGTTTGCTTCCTCCCTATATCTTTAATATTTTTTCATATATATATTTTTCTGATAAACACATTTGAATTCTTTTAACTAAATCAAAAAGTAGAGACAAGTTTTCTAAAAAAAGCTAAGTCTCCTTAAATAACAATTCCATTTAATTAGTTTTCTGCCAGTCTCTCAATTTATTTGTTATACTTTTTCACATATTTTTTTTTATAAACACATCTAAATTTTTAGCCAAATTTCAAAATCAAAAAAACAAAATTTTTAAAATACTTTTATTAATTTTTAAAATTTAGTTTAGATTTTGAAAATATTTTTAAAAAGAACATAAAATGCATAGGTCGAAGTAGTGTTTATACTTAAAATTTTTAAGAATAGAAATTAAAAGATAAAATAGTTACCCATTGGATCTAAATCTTTTAGTTTTTAAAATTTAGCAAAATCTTTTTAAAAGGTAGATTATATATGTTTGAGATAGAATTCACAATCTCATAGTTGGAGATATATGCTAATTACCGTTGAATTGCTCATTTTTGCTATGTAGTAGTGTTTGGAAACATAATTTTGAAAAACAA